TACCACTTTGTTGGCTTTTGCTCTGATACCACTTTCTGACTTTTTCTCTGATACCACTTTGTTGGAAATAGTGGCTTAGATACACACAATACTCAATAATATTTTGGAAGAGAATGATATGGAGAAATACTTGAAAAATTATTTTATTCCACTTCTTTTATTTCTTCTTCTTCAACTTTTCTCTCCACATAAAATAGGTACATGAGTTTTATAGGCTCTAAGACATGTGTAACCAATTACATTTCAATGCCCAATTACTCCTACTAATCCCACTAACATAATATTTAGTAGACTTAACTCTCATGTCTTCTACTCCGTGGTAATTGTATTCGTTAAATCAAATATCTTTGCTCGTTTAGGTTAATTTATTGCCTAATTAGTTTTAAATTCATGTTTAATTAGTTTAATTTAAGATTAATTAATTTAATTGCAATTCAATTATTAAATAAGTAGACCATCCATACTTATGTTTGAATTCTATACTTTTTGTCACAATTGCATTATCTTCTAGATTAATGTAAGCTAGAATTGTAACTTGAATTGATGGACCATTCTTTGGATTGGTGAATTGCACTACACTTAGTTTATTTGTCATTAGGTATACAATTCAAGCTTGAAATTGATACTTCATACTTTTCTTTGCAAGTATTAGTTACATTAGAATTACATTTAATTATTTCCCAATTAGTTGAAAGTGAGTGAGTTAGGGAATGTACTTAGTGGTGAATCATACACCCTAAGTCTCTTTCCAATCTTTTATACTCTACTCTTTATTTGTATTATTAAGTTTAAAATTAGTCTAATCACAAAACCAAACTTTTTTAGCAATCACATAAGCACTAAAGTAGAATTCAATTCTGAAAAATCTATAATTGTTTAGATCTCTTGGGACGATCCCTGCTCACTTCATACTCCATAGTATAAGTGTTTAGTGGTTTTATAAATTTTAAAATATGGTACCCACTTGACATTATTTCTAAACCTAAAGTATTGTGCATTATTTTGTGCACACGCTCAGTCGCACCAGGTTCCTCTATTATCTACATTTAAACTAATCAATTAATACTCAATTTTAGTTTTTATGACCGAGAGATCTCTATTGGTTTTCTGTGTTCTTACCTTTGGGGTGTGTGTGTGTGTTTTTTTTTAAAAAATATTCTTCTATTGTAATTTGAGTATAGTTTTACAAATGCTCGGATGGCGGAGCAACTGGAAAATTGGTCCTCAGCCTCTTGTTTGAGCCAATAATCAATCCATTTTGGTAAAAAAGAGACGTCTCTTTCTCTCTCTAAAAAATGGTGTAATAATCTTATCCCTACTCTTTCATGCTTGAGCTTTACCTTCTGTTTTTATTTTATATATGCAGTTACAACTGGGTCTTTGGAGAAGGCAACAACATCAATCAAGTTTTATTTCTTATAGAAAATATATACACATATGTATGCTTATATGTGTGCTTCTCCAACAGTGGTGGCTGGAGACCATGGGGAGAGAAGAGAGAGAATCACGTAGAGGGGATATAGAGACACCCATTATACATATAAAGAGAGAAAAGAAGTCGTTCATATAGGGAGGAGGAGACTTTAGAGAGGAGAGGAAAGGAAATAAAAAATAAAAAATTAAGAAAATAGAAATTATTATATATAGAGAGAGATTTTTTAGAGAGGATAGAGAATAAAATTAAAAAATTAAAAAATTAAGAAAATGGAAATTAGTATATATATATAGAGAGAGTGGAAGAATTCCTTATGGAGGAGGAAAAAGTTCTTTCTTTGACCTTCCCAAGAGCTTCTTCTACTTCACAGGGGTTATATAGAAAGGCGGATTTGGTATTTGGATATTATTTGTATCAATGATCTGGCCAACCACGAATGATTTGTTATGAGATCGTGTAAATGTAAATGATTCCTAAATAATCTGAATAATGAAGAGATAAAAAGATCCATTTATTTCTACTTTGAAATGTTCATGTAGCGTGTAGTAAGGGTTAAATCAACTGAGTATTCAACTTCTTGTGAACTGAGGTTTAGATGTATATATAGAGGGAAAGAGCCTTTTTTTTATATAGAGCGAGACTTTAGAGAGGAGAGAGAATAAAAAATAATAAAAATTAAGAAAATAGAAATTTTTTAGAGAGAGAAAGAGCTATTAGAAATGAGAGAGAAAATATCTCTACTGTATAAAAAGAAATAATTAAATAAGAGTATTACATATTTTATATAAATATATATGAGAAATATGAGTAAGGGGTAGTTTAGGTAATGTAAAAGGGTAGGATGGGTATTTAAGGTTTTTTTTTGTCACGTGATCCGTAAATGCTATTTTAGGAGGTCAGAAGCCCTTATTTGCTCACTTTTCATACTACATGGGTATGATTTGAACACAAAGAACGTTTTTTTTGCATATTTTTAAAGTTACGAAAGAGTTTTTTACACTTCACCCCTATTTAAAATTAACCAACCAACTGAATATGTAACCAAATCCAATGTTTTTTTTAACCTTCGATGCATGTGTATAGGATCAGGAATTACTTCGAGTTTGTTTTTGTCGATTTATAGATATACAAATTTAATTTAATTTATATAAGTGCAATGGTGAACTTCACTATATGAGGACACCGTTCTGCAACTACCACTTCAAGGTTAAATGGTAGTTTGCATGTTGCTTTCCTAACAGACATTTACAATATATACACATTAATATGATCTCTCTCGTAAATAACATCTAAGTAATAATTGTTAATTTTTAGGATACCTACTTTCAAATTAATAACATTTAATACTTTGGTAAGTTACATTAATAATCTCCGAGTAAGGGCTAATTAAAGGCGAATACCAAATTCTTTTAAAAAATATTTATTTAGACCCCTACCAGCATTGAGCTCGAATCTTCTGCAATACAACACTTCATCGGATGCCGCACAAACATTACATGTGTGATGGCACACGTGATGATACTTGTGCTTGTGGACCATCCAATGCAAAACAACACTTGTTGTACTGCATCGAATCTCCATATAAGCATTAGTTTCCGTTACCATTTGTGTGAAATGTCATTCTTCTCCTCCAATGAAGTAACAATTTTTAATCACAAAATATTTCATATATGGTGAAGTTGCACCCTTAATTCTAGGGATGGCAATAGGGGCGGTTTGGGGAGCGAAACGCCATTTCCATCCCCTTTAGAATAATTATATACCCCCATTCCCGCCCCAAAATTGCTTTTTAAACAGGATGGGACGAATTTTGTAGAGTATTTTTATAATTGTAATATAAATCAAACGAAAGTAAATAATAAAATAAATTTTAACTATGATAATATTTTTTTTTCTCTTACATGGATAAAAACAAGATTAAACTTTTCAATTGAAACTTACTGTACACCCAAATTTCGTATCTGCAAATAAAATAACGAAATAGGGAGCAAATAATAATTTATTAATTTATAAAATTTCGAGTATAATCCTCTGAAAATGTTCTTTACAAAAGAAAAAAAAGTATCATCGGATTCGATCTCCTTTGTTGGTTGGATCCAATGGCTGTTGGAACTTGATCTTAAATCAGGCTGTTGACATTCTTCTTCAAGTATTTGTAGTTGAGGAAGACCGCCAATGTTTTTGATCAAGGGCTGACGAAACTTGATCTCGAACAGTGTTGTTTGGTAATTCTTCAAACTTGATAAATCACGGAGAAAGAACGACACGATTTTGATATGTTTGTTGTTCTTTGTTGAATTTGAGGAAGAACAACACGACTTTGGGTTGGATGTGCTTGTTGTTCTTCGTATTCAGAGAATTTGCTAAATTTGTGGAAGAACAATATGGCTTTAGTTATGCTTGTTACTCTTCTTCTTCATGGATTAAGTGTTGGGGATGAAGGTCGACAGAGCTTTTGTATTTCTCTCTAGGTTTCTGAGTTTCTCAAATTTTGCCCCATCTGAATTTTTGGCCCTCTAAATTTATGAGTCTCTGAATTTCTGGACACTCGGAATGTTTTCACACCTTTCTCTTTCCTCCATGTCTCTAGTTATATGCTTCTTGGATTAATAAGATGATAACATGTGTCATTTCTTAATAAGAACATAATTATAATTAGGCCGGGCCAGTTATATTGTGATAATTATTCATAAAAATAATTATTTTAAATATATTTTATTAAGAATAATTATCTTTTTTTATTTAATCACATGCGCTGGCTAATTAAATAATTTAAGCTGACCCAATTTGGGCCAATTAAATAATTTAATTAAACATGAGACCCATATTTGATGGGTCAATTTGCCAAAATAAAAGTCAATGAAATTTTAGTGTATACACTTATTACTAAAATTATTGTTGGAACATTAAAATAATACAGAGAAATTCTCAAATAAATAAGAATAATATAAAAAGAATATTTGGTGATCGGAATAAAATAAATTATTATTTGATTAATATATACCTAATATTATTTGATATAAAATAAAATATATGAATAAAATTATAATTTATTATTATAAATGAACGGGGCGGGGCACTTCTACAATCAAAATCATTTAACCACTTCTACGACCGTTCTAAACAGCATGGAATGAGACGAGTACCTGACGAGATTGAATATTTTGCTGGGAATGAAATTTTTTGCACACTCAGTTCTTTGTCGGTGAGTCTAGCACCACGTATTATGATATTACATAAAAATTATCAAACACAAGCCCAACACTTCAGCCGAAGAGTTGGGTGAAATGCATCCTTGGAATGCTTTCAGCCCAACACTTGTTGAAATGGTAGGTTTGTAGTAACATAAATAATTAAAATTAACAAAAATAAAACAAAAATAGTCGTTTTTATAAGTGGACTTTTGTGTAAATTGTTACGGAATGTATAGTACCCATTTCCTCATTTCTCATGACCATAGCTTAATTAGTCATTTCGAGATATCCCGCGATTTTCAGTATATCGCATATTCCTGTCTCTCTCTCTTCCTCTCTCCATGGACACTATATAATGTGACCCGCACCCCCAACAACATCATCGAATCTCAGACATACACGGCTCTCTCCCTCCATATTTCTCTCTCTACATATTTCTCTCTCTTGTTCTTCAATGGCGCTTCGAAGAATGTTAACGAAGCGTCCTTTCAACAGGAACAGAGAGCATTCTTCACTTGTAACACTAGAACTCTCGCCGATTTGGTCTCCATATATACCAAAAACCGTAGTCCCTTCAACTGTTGCCAACACAAACTTCTACCGCCAGTTCACCAAGTCGCCGGATTCAGCCGAGAACAGTTTTCTCCGCCGCTTCCTCCAGCGGAGAGGGATAAACCAGGCGGCGAGGCTCCCGGAGTTCCTATCCATTCCGGTAGGGGACAAGCTGAAGGAGACGCTGAGGTCGATGAACGTGACCCGAGACCGTCTCCGGCTGGACGGACTGAATCCTCCTCCTCCGGCGACGCAACCGGCCGATTATCCAGCTGGAATATCGGTTCTCGAAGCGAGGAAGATCCTTAGGGCTTCGCAGTTGGAGAAGGTGAAAACGAAGCTGAGACAGATTCCGATCAACTCGATTTCGTACACGGAGTTCGTTCAGATCTGCGTCGACTGTTGCTCAAACCGTGAACAAGGTCTTGAGTTTTCCAAAATGCTGGATGACTCCGGAAACGTCATCGTTTTGGGAAATATCGTGTTTCTCCGCCCGGAGCAGGTATAAATTGCATCTATTGTACCCTAACAAGTAACCGTTTTTTATTGCGTATAACAATTTTTAAATTTTTTTTTTTTTTCTATATTTTTTGAAAACTAATTTTTACAATTAATTTATGTTAAGCTTCAATTAATCTTTTATAATACATGATTACAGGTGGCCAAATCAATGGAGAAACTAGTTTGTGAATCCATAGGCCTCCCAAACGACCCAAGAAGAAAAGAACTGGACCAGATGGAGAAGCAAAAGGCCGTAATTGACCAAAAAGCAGAGTCACTGGTCCGAGGAGAGCTCTACGGTGGGCTGGGTTTTCTGGTCCTCCAAACACTGGGCTTCATGAGGCTCACTTTCTGGGAACTCAGTTGGGACGTGATGGAGCCCATTTGCTTCTTCGTCACCTCACTCCACTTTGCTCTTGCCTACGGTTTCTTCCTCAGAACATCCAGAGAACCCTCCTTCGAGGGCTATTTCCAACGCCGATTCAGGTCCAAGCAAAAGAAGCTCATGGAGATTCACAATTTCGATGTCAAGAAGTACGACGAGCTTTGCCAAGCTTTTTATCCGAATTACTGCAACCCTACAAATTTGGAACATTTTCCGGTGTCCAATCATGCCGGAAGGGTAGTTTCCGACGCCATGTATTAGGGAAATTCCGGCGTCCGGTCTAGCGGGAAGGGCAATTTTTGGTGCCTTGCATCTCGCTAGTAGCATATAGTAGAAAATATGAAGAAGTAAATTTAATTAGAGAGAAAAGTAGTTGTAAGTTTTTGAAGCTCTTTTTAGGTTCATGACTGTTTTATTATGTAACGACTTTTGACTATAGGACAAACTTCACAATGAAAGACTTGATGGGTGTACAAGTTTATCGCCAAAAGTAATAAATTAATGTGTGTACAAGTAATGGTAGACATTGTGAAAATGTTTTTGTGGTATTAGTACAAATTTTATCATATACTTGGAGTTAGTACAAATTTTATCATATACTTGGAGTTAGTTTAGTGTGGTAGAATGAATTAGAATGGAATGAGAATGGAGGTGGGAATAAAATGAGAAGAAAAAGAAATGGTCATTCATTTTGTTTAAAAGTGGAATGATTTTGATGGAATGGACATTTTTTAAGAATAGTGGGGAATGATGATTCCAACTTTAAAATTGGCATCAAACACGAGAATGAAAAAAAATAAAAAAAAAATAAAAAAAAAAAAAAAAAATCATTCCACTCCACTTTCTTTTATTCCATTCCACCACACCAAACTAGCCATTATTGTATGAGGAAGGCAATATTACATTTAATTTATTTTTTTTTGTAATTTTAGAGGGGACAATATGAAAATTTTATAAGTATATAATTCAAAAACGAAAAAATTACCAAGTATAAATACTTAAAAATAATAATAATTCAGGGGTGCACTGTATCACTGGTCCGTGCATGCCTTTTTGTGTTCCAAGTCGTCTTGCTATTCAGTTGTTGGCATTTATATGTGTATGGACCCAACACTGAGCAACATAGTCTTGCACAATACTAGTGAGGAGTGCGGACAAAATAGGAATGAATCCTCTCTACAAACCCATACCTTCCAACCATGGAAATTCACCTTCACTGAGAAATCCAATTGTAAATTACCTAAAACCTCCATTTATTCCACTAATTCACCACAACACTACTCCATCATACATACCTCCCAAAATCCTCAAAAAAGCAAACAAACCTTAAAAAAATCCATTACCAAAAACTTCCACTACGAAACCATCACAGCAGCCAAAAACTACCCACGCACAAGTACATACACACCAAGCCTTACCATCCTCGAAGCAAATGACACCTAAACTGATCCTTAAAAAACCATCATCTATTATCCCCTCCCTCACACAAATATATCCACCTCCAATTCTATCCTCAATCTCAGGCCAACCACACATACATTTTCTTCCACCTACCACAAAACTTATACAGCCAACCTACAATGTCAAACATAAAAACAATAATAACTCACAAGCAGCTTACCTCTAACCTTCACAACCAGAAAACTTACTCATCTCCAGCTCACCAAATTGATAGATTACAAGAACAACTTGAATGGAATGATAAAAATTTGGGGAAAGTAATGGAGATGTATGACAAACAGAAGAAGATCAACTCTGAATTAGAAACTGAACTTGCCAAGTTACAAATCAGTCATCTACAACAGCCACCTGCAACCGCCTTCACAGCCTCCACATCCTCCTCTAACGGCACTGATCATGACACTATGGTGGGTCCAAGTTTGATTCCAAATTCAAATTTGAATCTTACAAACAATGTTTTACTTACTTCACCAAGGCAGGTAACAGCTTCACTGCAGGTTACATACAGCCAAATATGGTAATACCATTGACCACTTTCCACAACATTCCCCAACCACTGCATTATATGTTAAACAGACTCTAGCCTACACAACCCTGGCAACACTCCATCCATCCCCTTACCACAACAACCAAATACACATGAGACATAAACATAGACTGATATAGTAAAACAAAGCACCAACAAAATGATCCTCAAATTTTTCAGCCCAACCTCACATTCACCCTCCATCATTAACTCTTCTCAAGAAGTTGTTAAAGAAGGGTTGACTTTTTGGGGTTCTCTTTACCTAGTTGGGAAATCATTTCACAAAAGATTCCCCTTTAAGGTTGTTCAAGCTACTTTTCTAAGCTATGGACTTCCTATTGTCTCACTTACACAGTTTTGGGAAAAAATAACATATTCCTCTTCAGATTCATCTCTTCATCCCAAGCAGAGAAGGTTCTCTCTCTTGGACTATGGTCCATTGCTGGACACCCCTTCTCCATGATGAGATAGACCAACCAAACACATACACATCCATCAACCATTGCATGTATCCCAACTTAGATCAAGTTCTACAACATTCCACTCAAATATTGGACAGCAAATGGTCTCGGTTATATTGCTAGCTAGCTCAGTGGGAGAACCATTATATGCTTATCAAACAACTGAGGACAGAACCAAACTCAAATTTACATGACTGTGTGTAAATATTGACCTTAAGAAGCCTCCGCAAAGTGATGTCCAACTCAAAATGGATGGCAACTTAGTGGAAATTAGACTTGAATACCAGTGGATCCCAAAATTCTACAGCAAGTGCCACCAGCTCACTCACACTGTCAATTCCTGCCCTCTGAACATCATACAACCACCACCACAGCAGCATGACAGTCCAATTCCACTACAGTCCAGCCTTCCAATGATTGAACACAGTCCATCAATACAACCAACCATGGAATGGGTGACCATCAGAAGAAAGAAAAATAAACCACCAGTCAACAATGGCCAAACATCCAAACATTTATCCCATACCTCTACAACAAACAATAACACCAACCACTTCCAACCTTTAGCATGTCCATAACCCCTCACAAACGAAAATATCAATACAAACCCCACCTCTCAACCTTCATACTATACCTCCCCAACACTAAACGACATTACAACTAATAACCCTATTATGAACAACCATCTAAACTCTCTGATGAGCACTGAAAAGTGCGTTTTTAAACCCCTCAAGCTTAGGCATTCTAGTACCTTTATCTATCTTACTTTACCGTTTTAGATTGATTTCGTATTATTTCCTTTTTCAGGCACTTATCCCGAAAATAAGCTAACTCAGCCAAATAAGAGCTTAATTGAAGCAATTATGGGATTAAGCAAAGAAATGAGCAAAGTGGAGAAAGAGGAAAGCAAATGAAGCCAAATGTGGGAAACAGCAAAGTTCGATCGATCCAAGTTCAAGGTTTGATCGATCGAACAATGATCGATCTTAGCACTTCAAGATAGATCCAAGCCTTGACCCAAAAGTATAAAGTTCCAAAAGTTCGATCGATCCAACACCATCTTTCAATCGATAGAACACTTTTGTCCTTATTCAAATGATTGATCATATCCACAGCTGTACCACCCACTAACCACTTTTGTCCTTTTCCCAGCCAATTGGATCGATCCAGCCTAAATTTGATCGATCTCACTTACTTTCGATCGATCCAAGTTCAAGGTTCGATCGATCGAATTTCCTCCAGTGTGAAAAAGTTAAAATTCCATTTCATTGAAAGTTATCCTTTATCCAATCATTAGGGAATATTGTGTGCACGACCCCAGCTCATTTTGGGTATCATTTTAACCTACCTATATAAGGATAAGGATTGTTTTTTACAAAAAAAAAGCCAACATTATTTTTCATATCATCTCTTGGAGAGGAAGCTTAGAGGAGGAGGAGGATAGAGACACCATAGGAGTTCTTCATCAATAAGGAGCAGATTTTAACCATGGAATTAGCCCTTGAGGGTTGAAGCATCATCACCATGAGTGGCTAGACATCCTCTTGGGGCTAGAGTTAACCCCAAGCGTGCTTTCTATATCTTAATCTTGTGTATTATTGAGGGATTAGTGTTGTAATTGATGTTTTGACATTTTAATATATATAGATCTTGTTTATTCAATGATTTATGTGGTTTAATGCTTCCAATTGGTCATTTCATTCTATCCATATGTCTATGTATGCTAGAATAGATGTTCATGTGCTTGTCTCTAAATTTTGTGTTATTAATGCATGTCTATGTGTATTGATGCTATAGATTTGGAGATTATCAAAACATAGTGCTTAAAGGAATGCTCTTGTGAATCTCTTGATGGTTCATTCTTATACCTTAATGGATTGTGCCTCTCCCCTAGTTTATTTTCATGCTAGTAGTGTAGTTGTAGTGTAGTATTAAATGGGAGGATAATTTATGCTTGTTATTTGACGATCCAAGCTTTTGAATACAAGTAGCATATGTCTCTATCCTTGTGTTGTATTTGGATAGTGAGCTTAATGAAAGGATTAATGACTTGTTTTGATTTATTGTGCATTTCACATGTTATTTAGACAATATATGCTTCATTGCTTAGATATATTGTGCCTTTCACATGATGTTTAGACAATACATGTTTAACTAGTCATCCTTACTTGTTGAATCAACCAAACACACACACACCAATATTGAAACACACCATTTGCCCTCATTAATCACTTGTCAATGGTATATAAATACATTGCTTGGTGGTAATCTCTAAACCCCAAGATCTCTCTCTCTCTTACTTACTCTTAATTGCATTCTTTAGCTATCACTTAGTTTAATTTAGTTTTTCTTTAATCAACCAACCAACCAATTATTTGATCACTCAACCTACTAGCCCTAATTGTGATTCCACGACATTGCTCGATCCTCACAGTCCCTTGGGACGATCCCTACTCACTCTTGCTACTTTAGTAGTAGTGTTGGTAGTGATTTTTATAAATTTAAACTTGACCCAAAAGGCTTTTTTTGAACCGCACATTCACTACATCAATTTTGGCGTACAAGGAACGGCTTACCTCGGTCATTCTCCTCCACAAACACCACCTTTCTCACCATTATGCAGCAAAAAACTAAATTTTTCTCAAAACAACACCCCACTCACTTCAAACAACCCTATATCAGTACCATCATCCTTGCTAGAAAACACAACACCCTCACTATTTACTCCCACAAAAATACATCACCTATAACACACTCCTAGTACAACAAACATAACAAGAAAATACACCACAAGTCTCCAGTCCTCACATCAACTGAACAGAAACTTACACTAACCCCTTCTGCATCACAGTCCTATAGTCCAAAAAGAGGTACATTCATTGTTCAATCCTCACTCTCTGAACCAAAAGGCACTCAACAAAATGTCCCATAATCAATGAGAAGTTTGAAGAAGGCTGCAAGGAAGAAGATGAGCCCCTGCACTGATTTGATGTCTAACAGACATCTTGGAGGTTCTTTCTCACCTCCTTTTAAATGATTACCCTCTTAACATAGAATATTAGGGGGTTAAACTAACCCCCTAAGCAAACAGAGATTAAGAGACTGATCTCTAAAAAAAGAAATTGACACAGGCTCAATTGTGGAAACCAAAGTGTCTCCCACAAATATTGCAGCCATTCATAAGAATTTTGCTCCTACTTGGAGCATGGTACAAAACTACACTTTCTTTGACTTGGGAAGAATTTAGGTGTTATAGAACCCCAACACCATCAATCTCACTGTCATCATGATATGTACCAAATTATAGCCACTCACAATAACACAAATCTTCGTAGAATATGGCTATGTTGAGGGTGTCGAACCTCAAAGATTGTGGTGG